ACACACCCGAAATGTGGGCGTTACCTTCTGATGGCAGCAGGTATAAAAGACCAAGGCAGAGGAGAATGCGGGGCTTTTTGCAGCTTGCCTTCTCTCTTGCTGGTGAGTTCGTCTTGCTGCTGTAGACTGAAGACTATTTGATATTTTGGAATTTGTCAGACCTTCAGCACTGGATTGGGACTACTGAGACATCCAGCCTTGTGGTGTAGCCATTGTTGGACTACTCGGACTCTATCCTGTGAGCTAAACTGATAAATCTTTATACATATTCATTCTACTGGTTCTGTTTCTTTGGAGAACCCTGACTAATACAGTCTCCAACAAATGTTCAAAATTTTTCATATACAGACAAGACCCTCATGATCTTATCTCTCCCTGTCTGGCTAGAGTCACCTTTCACCATCCTACCACAGGTCTTTCGTTCCAGAGATGCCACTAGCAATTCCCTGAACACATGGTACTAGTTCCTCTTTCTTGGTTTTCTAACATGTCCTCCCACCACTTGACTTTGACCTCCCTTCACCTTCTTCAAGTCAACTGCTACCAGTCCTTCAACTGTCATCTTAAATGTCCATTTCCTCCCAGAAGTCTTTCTTCTCTGACCCACACAGCCCTAGAGGGATGCCCTGTAGAGATGTGACCCATTTTTCCATTCATTCATTACTTGATTCTGGAAATAGTTCTTGGCTAGCTGCTCAGGCTACAGTGATGAGCCATCCAGACTTCTCCCTGCCTTCATGGGGATGACCATCCAGAAGAGAAGACACTGACCCACAAGAAACATGAATAAGGAGCAACCACACAGTGAGGTATGTACTAAGATGGAGAAGCAAGGGTGTTATGAGATCATACACAAGCAGTGGGGAGAGGAAACTGACCTAGCCTGAGGACAGAGAATATTTCCCTGAAAAGGTGATTTATGAGTTTAAATCTGAGTCACAGAGGGAGACAGTTCAGAGTATTGCAGGAAGAGAAAAGAGCATCTGCAGAGGTCATGGAGAGAGGCAGCCCTTGCCAGGTTCCAGTAACTGAAGAGACAAGTGATACACTGCTATGTCTCCTCTTAGTCTCAAAGCAAGCAGATGGCAAGACCTACTCTAGGTACTGTATGCCCCCAGTGCCCTACACATGAGCTTTGATAAATGAATTAACATACCCATGCCTGAAAACTGGAATTAATTTTATTGGAGACTCTAACATGCAAATACCTTGGCCTGAAGAACATTTGTTGCCACGTCTATCATGGCAAGGCCTGTAGCTCCAGCTGCTGCTGTCACTAAAACAGTTTCTCTGTGCCAAAGAAAGATGAAAGTTATTTCAGAAACCTTCAAAACTCATCCAGTAATAATATTTCAGAAACATAGCCTAGAGCATTTTAAAGCAATAATGTTAGAGATCATTTCATTCAAACCTCCACATACATTTTTCTGCAGACTTGAGGGATGGAACATGGATGTGATTTCTTGATCAGTGTTGGAACTTGGTCCAGTTCTGAAGGCTTTACAGGAGAAAGATCTTTTATAGCCTCTCCCTCACAGCAGTGGCAACTGCATCTTTAAGCAACCACATCAATGTATGCTTCAGAAATTTCATCCTAAAATCATTCTCTGCCTGATTTTAGAAGATGGTGGTCATGGAATAACCATTGCTCAGTAAAACCACTGGTTGGAAGTCACTCTTGAAGGCCAGTTCTCTGAAAAGATCAAGAGGCAGTTTCCCAGGTAAAGGGAAAACTTCAGCACCTTTAAGCTTAAAACATTCTATCTGGCACAACCAAGACTCACAGAAACACATACCATAGGCTTCCAATAACCTCATAGGAAGTAAGTTAAAATAAACCAACTCTCAGCTGTGATTCCAGCACTCAGAAGCTGAGGCATGAAGAATCAAGTTTAAAGCTAGCCTGGGTTACATAAGGTATTCCAGGCCAGCCTGGTTACATAGCAAGACCCTGTCTCAAAAAAATAAACTTAAGTGAGAAACAAACCAACTCTGTGATTTGAAGATTTTGAATGAAGTGATCCCCAGAGAACTTCTTTTCCAAATTAATATTGGCCAAGTTCACAGTCTACCATCCCAGATAAAAGATGGCCCATGTTGAATCCCCAGTATCAAGAGATTACCTCCCCTTTGCCTTTCCTCAGCTTAAAGGAATTTGAGCTAAAGAGAAGGGAAGCACAGGGAAGGGGAAGGGACAAGAAAAGAGGAAGAGGTCAAACAACGAGGGAAAGAAGAAGCACTGTTTTATATACTGTCTCATGTAACTCTGGCTGTCTTCAAACTTACTATGCAGCTGAGAATGACCTTGAATTCCAGATCCTTTACCCACCCTCCTATGAATTAGGAATATAGGCATGCATACACTACCTTGCTGGGCTTAGGGCAACATCTTGTTAGACATTTCTAATATCCAAGAATGGTACCACCTAGCCCTCTGTCTCCTACATAGTCCTTACCTGGGCTGGGTACGGGCACGATGCTCTAGAGCGAAAATAGCAGTACCATAAGATACAGGTAGGACTGCAGCTTCCTGGAGAGAGACCTTTTCTGGAATTTTCCACAGGGTCTATAAAAGAGATTACAGTGATTTGGGGGTTAATACATGGTTACAAAAGCTGCTCAATAAACATTATGACATGATTAGGTGACTAATTTGAAATAGGCAGCACATGTCTGTAACCCATAACAAGTACAAGTCAAGACCAAGAAAACCATGGATGAGTCCAGGACTTGGGTGTATCAGACTTCAAAACTCTAAGGTTGGTATCTGCTCAAAAAAGAGCCAATTTTTTGGAGAACAGACCCTAGGTTACCTTTCTATAACAGGTGAACTGAACCTCACTGACCGTTGGATGGGATCCTTATAACATACCCCACTAGGGGGCACCATTCACATCCTGCTCCCTGGATACAAGGCTACCCTGGCTGGCTCTGTTCCCACAGCTATCACTTTCATAAGCTTTATGGAAAAACAAACTCATTACATTCAACTTAATGTGACAAACCAGTTTTTCTACCAAGACTCACTGTGGTCCAAATGGATGGCCAGCCGGTTGCTTAGGCACTGCAAAAACAAAGTCCCTTTTTCCATAAAACCTTCTACACAAACAAAGCTCTGTGCAGGGGTGTCACACCTATACAGAGAAGTTTAGCATTTGAAAAACAAAAAACAAAAACAAAAAAAAACTGCGCGGTTTTGCTGAGAAACAAGATATAAAGAAACAAATACTAAAGGAGGAGGATGCAGGAATGAGTGTGTTATGGAAAAGAAAGAAAACAAAGAAGAAATCTCTGTGCATTAACATTGAGAGGCAGAGATACCTTCTGGTCAGTGACGCATTCTTCAGCCATAGCATTAAAGTTGCTCACACCAATAACTCGATCTCCCTAAAAGGAAAAGAACCATATGTTCAAATGCATGGCCTTGCATTCAAAAACACATATCTCTGACCCATAAGATACAGCTTGGGGGGCTGGAGAGATGGCTCAGCTGTTAAGAGCTCTGACTGCTCTTGCAAAAGACCTGGGTTCGATTCCCAGCACCCACATGGCGGCTACAAACTGTCCTTAACTCCCGTTCCAGGGGAATCCAAAGCCCTCTTCTGACCTCCGCGGCATTGCAAGACACGGGTGCACTCACATACATGCAGGCAACACACTCATACACATAAAATAAAAATAATAAATAAAATATTTTTTAAAAAGATACTGCTTGGTCTTAATACCTATTCAGAGTTAACTGTTAGTCAAAAGCAGCAATTCTCTCAATACTGCCAAGAGTTACCAAGCCAATGTGAGTATACTTTAGAGAGGGACGAAATGGAGTAAGAAAAAGGTTGGCAGGAATTAGAATTCCTGTGATTACTTCTTTCAGCTGTGACTCAAACTTCAAAATTCTTTATTCTTTCAGTAACTAAAGACCGAGTGCGCTCATATAGTCACAATAAAGAGCTTAATGAAGCCAGAAGCCACCACCAAATTTCTTCCCCAATTCAGAATTTGTTCTTCCCCTTCTGCCTCAGGTTCCTTTTGGTGATCTGGCAAAGACCAGAAAAAGGAAGGCCTTCTGGGCACAAATGAGGTTAGCGCATTTCTCATAACTATGCACACATTGATTTCCTAGATTCCAAGTAATTTACCTCTTTCACGGTGCTGACATCTGCACCTGTCTCCAGCACTGTCCCAGAAAACTCCAATCCTAAAACATTATTTAAAGATTAAGTTATCTACAAAGCCCAGCACTACAAAGATGGGAAAACCCTGATCAGTGGTCCACTTCATCTGCTTTGGGGAGTTGTTACAGTCTGAATGCTTTCATTTAAACTAAGGATAAAGTGTGGTGCCCAAAACACAGGAGAGTGAGTGTAAGATTTCATGATCACAACCTGAAAAACTATGACAGTCCCACACTTGACCTTGATCATTTCAAGAATGTGCAAAGGCACAGAGAATCACAGGTACACAGGTACTTTTGACCCTGATCACTGGGCCACTGGGTTCCTACAGAACCCCAACGACTAGGAAGTATTCAAAGACGTGAACTGTGTTTATTCAGACTATACTCAGCTCAGCAGGATGAATTAAGTGTTGTCTGCCCTTTCTTCTTCCACCTCTGAAATTTCTGAATTTAATGACCATACATTTCCTACTTGATCTTCCAGGGGAATAATTTAATTGTGTGACATTGTCTCCTGTCTAGCTTCTAGCAAACGCAAACAGGATATTGTTCCTACCATTAAAACAACACACCAAGATACTACGACCCAAACTTAACAACTACAGCTATGTTGCAATCATGCAATCAGGACGTTCTTAATGATATTTTGCTATATAAAATATACATGTACTATAAACACACTTAGATCTCTTTAAATAAACTTCAACAACAAAAACTAGTCATTTATCCACATATTCAGGACCTAAAAGTAATCAAGCACAGCATAATGAAAATCAGATAGTGGACTGTTAAAACATGTCGAAACTTTCTCCTTTCTCTTCTTCTTTTTGATCCTTTAGCAGTTTCTCTTTGGGCATGCACTTATGAGGCTGCAAGTTTTAGCTGCAAACGTGTTTGTGATTCTTCAGTGAAAAACAAAAACTGAGGCAACACTAAGGATGGAAGAGAATGAGGAGGGTTAACAGAATAGAATTCTGGTTGACTCTAATTAGCAGTGATGCTGGCATAGCTAATAGAAACCTCCTATATAAAAAACAAAAGGTAGAGTAATTTCCAAGAAGATGCATGTGTTTCTTAAAACACTCAGAATCTTTTTCTGAAGTGGGCCCCCAAACTTACCAGGTGTAAAGGGAAGGGGAGGCTTTTCCTGATATTGACCACGACATACCAAAATATCAGCAAAGTTAACTCCACAGAAATGGACATCAACTCTGACCTGCAAAAGAAACATAGAACACCAAAACAGCAATATGCATCCTAGAGACAAAGTTCATCCAATAATTAATTAAAAAAGATTTACTGAGTGAATAACAATCATATGCCAGACACTGAACTAAAGGCCAGAATATCATGAAGCAAAATGGAAAAAGTAGAGAAGACACTGACTAAATAATAATGAAGCTAATGAAGCCAATGTGGTTTTGTTGTTGAGTCAGGGTCTCACTGTGTAGCACAGACTGGCCTCAAACTCCCTACATAGTCCAGGGTGGCCTCAAACTTGAGATCCTCTCTCCTCAGCCTCCTGAGATGATAAGCATGCAGCACCATGCCTGGCTCATGTGTGTTAAGTCAGAGCTTAAGAATAAGAGAACACATACAATAGGGGTAGGTGACCCCTGAGGAATGCCAAGGAGAACTAAGAAAGTAACATTTGAGCTGATAATAGCTAAGAGTTAACGATGCAAAATAGGAGGTAGAAAGCTTGACATGAGACAAAAGCAACACACGTGTAAATGCCCTGCATCAATCAGGGGCAAAAGAATAACCAGTGAGTCTAGAACACGATGAGGAGACCAAGATGAGGGAGAGTGAGAGCACGGCACCACACAAAGATCGCTAGGTCTGCATTGAGGCTCTTGGTCTTCATACCAGGAATGACAGGAAGCTATCAAAGGGTTCTAAGTAGAGGGGAACTATGGTCTGCATTTCCTGGAATCTAGATCCCCATCTTCCAGACTTGTAGCTAAGTCATCATTGAGGAAGATCTGTAGCATCATGCCAGTGGCTTCTCTATACCTTGTGAGGAGCCAGTTATCAAAAAGTGGTCTTGGATCATCACCATCAGCATCACCTGGGAGCTTACTAGAAATTCAAGATTTCAGGCCACACCCCAAACCTGCTGAATCACATACCAGAGGGTAAGGCCCAGCAATCTGTCTGAACAAGCCCAGGAGATTCTGGTGCTCATTCAAGAACACATCACAACACACAACAGGGGGTTGGAATTCCTGGAGAAATGACAGCTGGAACACCAAATCAATGACATTTATTTGCTTAAATTTAGTACAGAGGTACCCATGTTAGGGAGAAGCCATTTTTTATCTACAAAAATCATTCATTTCACAATTCTTTAGGCATCTGTCACATGTCAGGGCCCATTTCAAACTCCAGGGATTTAATGGCGAATAAAAATAACATCATTGCATCTCTCACAAGCTAATTCCTTACAATACCATATCTGGACAAATAGCAGAACAGAGGAGCTAGCCCTCAGCCTGCACAAATTGGATTAGTTATTGACAAGCACACCACACTCATGTGTCCTTAAGCCACTCCATCTTGATTTAAGAATGACTCAGCTAGGAGTGGTGACACATGTCTGTACTCCTCAGGAGGCCAATGCAAAAAGATCATGCATTCAAGGCCAGCCTAGACTACAACGTCTCCACAAAGCACCAGTCTTCAAAAAAAAAATATGACTCAGGGATGGGCCCTGGGCACGTGGGCACGTGAATCCCAGAAAGCAGAGAAGGCTGCCATCACAGCTCTTCCAAATAATCCATTTTAACCCTAGGCTCCAGGGTTGGTGACACTTCGGGGCTGGAGATGCGTTTCTGTCTCTCATCAGTAGTCTCCCACACAGACACACTGCCTGTTGTACCCTGCTTTAAGATATAATGCGGTACACCAGGTAACACTGTCACTAGCGTGCTCAACAGGCAAAGCCAAGATGAGTTTCATATTTCCGTGCAACAGCCACAACCGGAAAGGAATCCCATCCCAAATTACTGAGGGACAGAAGAGGGAACCCAGGCATGTATTTAAACAGATATGGGGGTGGGGGGCTGGCTCAGGGAAGAGGGAAGGGCAGATTTGACATTGACACACAAAGCTGGACTAAGCAAAGGATAAAGGTCCTTTCATCTATGCTGTTATGCAAAGTCCTGTGTAAATCAGATACTGTTTCCAAGGGAACCGTTCTAGAGCTTTCAGAAAGAGGCCTATACATGTGCTGGGGGTACTCTTCCTTGGCACTTGTGACCTTTCTGTGAACCTTCAAAGGGCTCAGCCCAGGACAGAGTTGCGCTCTGGTCTCCCGGTCGCCCCCTAGGCTTGGGATCTGGAAACTTGACTCCAGCAGGAAACCAACAGGTGTGTGGCGTAGATAAGCGGGAGGTTTTGAATTCGATGTGGCGGCATCCCGGGGACAGAGCAGTTATCCTACCTCGTGAGGCTGGACAGGTCGGCGAGCCACGTCTCCAATGGCCAGGGGCTGCTTCAGCTCGGCGCAGAGCGCGGCGCGGTAATGCCGGCCGTAGCCCTGCCTGGCTCGCCTGCAAGAAGGAATGAATAGGGGCTGGTTTGCTGGGGCGCAGCTGGGGGCCGCCACCAGGGGATGGGGGAGAGTCGGGTTGCACCTGCAGAGCCACGCCCGAGGGAGGCACCGTGCACACACCCGCGCCGCCATGGCTAGCGGACAGTCGCGGGGGCGTGGCCAGAGCGTGGCAGGAAGAGCCCGCGGGAGAGCGGAAAGGCGTCGGGAGGAGGCGCGGGCCGCCGGTTCAACCCAAGCCCGGTGGGGCCCGGTAGGCACCGTGCCAGCGCCCGGCATCCGGATCCGCGCTGCGTCCTGCTTCTCGGCCCGACACCAGAGGTCCACCCCTGAGCATATCCTCAGTGGTCCAGGACCCGCAGGAGAGGAAAGGGGAAAAAAATGGGAGAGGTTTCTGTTTGTGAAACAGGATTTCACTACGTAGCCCTTGCCGCCTGGAACTGGCTATGTCCACCAGGCTTGGCCCAGAACTTGTAATCTTCCTGCCTCTGCCTCCTGAGTGCTGGGATTACAGGGCGAGTGCCCCAGAGACTTAAAAACCGTATATTTTGCTTTGGAATGAATTCTTCTGTATGAAAAAAAAAAATTAAAAAAATAATGATTAAAAAACAATAATTAGTAGATGTGAAAAACATTACCATTGAAATCTACCTGATGACTTTATATCCATGCTCAGATGCCAAGGAGCTCAGAAAGTAACCGACTGTGACCAGTGATAGTCATGTATATAGAGATTAGAAATGCATGTGAAAACGTCTCAATGTCAATTGCTTTGGAATGAATTCTTCTGTATGAAAAAA